GTCCCGACTTAGAGTCGCAAGTTCGAAACTTTAATGTTTTCTCTAATCAGTTCAAGATTTCTATGGAAATTTCTATCAAACTGACACAACTTCCGGGAGAACAATCTTATCTTGCCTAAACGTGATAACGATTTGACTGGGTATTGGTGTTCGCGTTACTGCTATGTAAGTATTTTTGAAAGCAAGTTTGTTTTTCAAAGATGATCAAGAGGGAACGGAAAACGCTAAAAGAATGTGTCCTCGTTGAAAAATTTTTATTAGAAATTTTCAGTTTCTAGTAGTTTAGATTTAAAAAATTCTGTAATATCGTCTATCGTATTTTATATTATTTTCAAGCAATAACAGGTAATATATACTTCTCTTTTTAAAGCAGAACAGCTTTTTTCATAAAGGCTTCTTTCATAAACGAATCTGTTTTTATGGAAAAATTGCTCTCGGTGACGGCATCTTTAGCCTTCTCCATTTTCTCTTCTGGATTTCATAAAGAGATTGAATTGATTAATACTTTAATTAATATTTTAAAATTATCGATAAGAATATCTTTTTTTAAAACAAAGAATGATAAAATAAGAAATAAAAAAAGAAAGAAAATTTAAACATTTAGCTTTCAAGAAAGATATATACATACATATGTATATATCTCTCTGAAAAGTTAAATGTATATATCTGCATATATAAGTAAGGTGAAAGTTGGATGTTTTTTTTTTCTTTCTACGGATATATATAAAACGGAAACATATTCGAAATTCCTCGTAGCAATGTTTAGATGAAGAAGTATGTATGTCAGGCATTGCACCTCTGAATAAAACAGTTACATTTAAGAAATAGTGTCACAGCTAATAGCTTGCAGCGCGGTATATCTTATTCTTTTTTTTTTACCTATGTACAAAGCCTTATAATCGTATAAGGAAAATGTAGCTTCAGTAATCATTCATCCAAGCATCGATACATGATCTCTATAATATTACACGAGGAACCACGCGCCGATCCCATCGATCAGATTAACGTCACTGAATCGTGGCAATTTACGGAATCATTTTACCGATCAGCAGCGATAGACGTATGCAATCGTGTTGTTAGTAATAAGTATATCGCTTTCGCTATAGCTTCCTGTTTCCCGGTTCAAAAAACAATTCTATCGATAAACACCGTAGGCTGAAAATAATTCCGCAAATATTCCATTCTCGACGGCTTTCGTCTTCTTTTGCAAAATCCTCTTTGGTCTCGTACATTCAAATAGAATATTGGCAATACAACGTGAAAGACGAAAGAATTCCGTCCGTCGCATCATATTACACGTTTCCGTCATATTCGTAGCACGCTTGGCGGCTAATAACCGGTTTCGAGCCCCATATTCTATTTGAGGATCGACTAATATGTAATATGGCATTACAGAAAGGAAAATATACACACAATCGTACGTAACGACCGTTCTTAAATCGAAATACGCTAATAATACTATCAAGTGTCATGCAATATCGGTGTATAACATCTCGCGTTTGACGATCATAAAATTCGCTTTCCGCTTTTCCTCTTTTCTTACGCTAAACTTAATCATCTCCCGCTGCTTGAAGGCTACGGCTTTGCGTTCGTACATTCTCACATTTAACGCCAAACGTGGTCGTTTGATTCTGAGATTTATTTGTCTCATACGAAAAAGATCGTATTTTTTAACCGTAGGTTTTATCCTAGACTTAGAGTCGACATTTCGCGCTAAATGCCGAATATAAATATACGGCTCTACCACGAGTTCATCTATCTCTACGTTAAATCGATCCGTTATTGGCAGTACAGAAAAAAGAAGTGTGCGCCAGATCAATAGAATATACAAATGGTGAGACACCAAGATCGTGCATATCCCTTTCTCTTTCCCAGCACAATCGCCAGAGCATATTACGTAGGATTTCCTAAACACTGGTGCGATCACCGAAAGCTCATATTCTCCTAATCCACATTCGAAAATTTCCACATATTTTTTAAACTACATATATTTATTGTTAAATATTCATCAATAAATTTTCTCTCTGTTGATGCTTGTTTCTCTGTTCGTTTTTCGGGCGTTTCTGTCTTGTAAGCCGAATACATTGGACATACAATCTACGTTATCTCTACATTAATCATTTGGTATGGAAAATGTCTCACAATTCTGTCTCACAATTTGTTCGTAAATGCGTTATTTCATAGTACTAATAATTTATTCTGAAATATAATAATATATCACATTTTTTAGCGTCGCGGTTCCGCAAAATCGAGAATCCTCCGATCTTAACATCAGCCGCTGCCACGCGCGACGTATTTCTTTTTTCGCCAACGTCATCCTCGACATCGTACTTTGTTAGCCGGATTTTTAACTTGCAACTAGATTACATGCAGTTACGTATCGTATATAATATGAGTAGACGAATACATAAGATTTCTCTACATATAAACTCTTCAGATACAACATTCTTTGACAAACATCAGACACCCACGAATGTCGAACATTGCGGCGTTTGTACAGTCAGATTTTTTTTCTCTCGTGTTTCAAAGAACCGAATCACCTTGAAGAAGTGATAAACTACGCTGCGTAATCATCTCTGTCTGGATGAAGAAACGAAATTCCGAGTATTTCCGATTATCGACTGTAATAGTCACACGCCTTCGAAAGTTTCGATGATTGTCATCCAGGATAAGACACTAATATCCGGCTAAATGCCGTTTTTCAATAATCACGCAATTGATGCAATCCATGGCGTGTGTATTGATTACAGCCGAGACAAAATGTTCATTAATTTTATGTGAATTGAATTGATAAATTGAAAATTATTTTGTAATTATCTTAGAACACAGAAAGTTTCGTATACGTTAACGTTGCACGTTATATATGACAAAAGAGTGAATTAAAATTTATCACGAGATATTCAATCAATTTAAAAGAATCATTCGTAAAGCATCATATAATTGAATCATCACCATCAATATTATATTAATAAGAATAATTTCTATACCGTAGTAAAAAAATTCTTTTAGCATTTAACATATAATTTAACTGTTGAATTAAAATAGTAATTTAATTTATATCAATAACAATAGAAATGCATATTGCTTTTATGCTGGATTATATATATATATATTTTTTTTTTTGTGAGAATATAACTTTTATTTACAGATAAATAAATTTTTCTATAAAGTAATAACTTTCTACAGAGTAAAACCAAAAAACTTTCGTCTCAGAATTATATGTAAATTTGTTTTGCGTTCTTTTAAAAAAAGAGGAAAAGATGAAAATTTATATTGCGTTTGATTTTCTAATTTTACTCCATTTGTAAGTGCAAAATTGCTCCTATTGATGCATTTCTTATTCCATCTTACGAATACTAATTTTGTTAGAATATGAAAAACTAGAAAATCAAAAACTAGAAAAATTTGTTTACTCTCGGTGATGGCGCTCGTCAACATCCATTATTTCTTCCCTCAAACTTATGGATGTCTCAGAATTTTGAAGAAACGACGGAAAGAGATGACTTGAATGTGTTTACTCCTTCGGTTTTCTCAGCCAGCTTCTACGGCCGAGGCTGGCGACGCTCATCGAACTGGCAGTGCTGGTGACGCTCGCCAACGAGTTCAGGCTTACCGAATGTTAATCCTGTAGCATGTGCACGAAGCTAATCGGGAACATGCCTCGTCGCTCTGGTGCCCGTTCCAGCGCTCCTTCCATCCAGTTGTCATCATCGGTCTGCTCATTTGTCACGATGATGACCTCGCCCTCGCGGAATGACAATTCGTCCTCGTTGTCGGCCTCGCAGTCGTACAGGGCACGACAGCGTCGCAAGCCACTCAAAGTCGATGACGTTGGCTGGAAGTGAAATGAAAAGTCATTTATAGAATCAAGAAATATCGTATAACGACGTGCGTGTTTCAGCCGTTTGGCAGAAACAAGCACTTCTGTTGCTCGAATCTTCGTCACGAGACAACAAGCATAAGAACATTTGTTCTTCAGAAATTGTAAGATCATTGGAAATTCCAGAGGAATTGTTATTAAATTCGGCGGATAGTATAAGACATCGATTAATCTTTTAATAAATTTTATTTTACTCATTATTTAACTAATCTTATTATATATTATAGAATAAAAAAAGGAAAAATTTATTAATTTATTATATTTAATTGATTATTATCGTGAAAGCAGATTATAGTTAGTTAAGTTACAAATATATAAAAATTAAATTTTATTCAAGTCTGAAGAATTTTTTATAATATATTTTGATGTATGTCTTTGTGTAATAAAATATTCAATGTAATAGCATGTACCCCGCAACCAGAATTTCCAATATGAAACATCAATATCATGCTAGTTATATGCTGTTTAATATCCGAATAGCTTAAGGTAAGAGAATTTTAAAGGGAAAAATATCTCACGTGTCGAAAGAAGTAGCACAATGCGAGTCAAGTATTACTAAATATAAACTCACTCACGGGAAAATCATGCGTAGGTCAGTATTTACAATTATACTTTATATCAAAATATTAGTCATACATAAGAGATTCGTTAAAAGAGCAGAATATTCTCGTAAAAAAGTCACACTCTGATTACAGATTAACGATGCAGGTAGGATTAATAATCGATCGAGGAATGTACATGTTAGTTTGAATACAATCCAACACATTTCACGTTATGGGTTTCGCAATGGGAGAACCCGATCATGGAGTTAGATGTCTTGTGAAAGATTCGTATCATTATTATGATCGAATAATAATATAATCGTTAAGAAATATCAGATGATGATTAAAATGACAGTGAGATCTAAATGATTACTCAATATAACACGAAAATAATATACTCAAAGCTCGACGTGAGTTGCATAAATCATGATACGAACACGACTGATCATGCAAAGCACTAGTTACACTTGAAAATATCGTCAAGCAAAGACAGAGAAGAGTAGGCTCTTGTCATTCAAATTTTTCGATCATTAATTACCGTTGTTAATTCTCCTGATAATATGTGATATAATAATTACAACTTTTTTCTTCGAGAGATAACGTTCCTTCTTGTTATATAAGAGTACAATCTTAATTAATCACACTTTGTATTATGATTAATAATATATGATTGTCATTATATAGATATAAGTAAAACGTTATATATTACTCATTTATGATCAAATGGTTTCAAGTGTAACATGCTGTAATGGCTGGGATGGCTGATGTTTACCAGATTCAGATTTGGGAGCAAAGATGAAGGCTCTTCGGCGTAGCTCTCTAGCCTGGATCGGTCCCTTCGCTGTACCAACAATGGTTAATGACAAACCATAAAGCACTGATTTTGAAATGCATGCATTCTCTACATATCCACACACAGTAGGTACACGTAATTATATATTTGATTCATACTATATCTGTAATGAACTAGTCGCTATTTAATCCACGATAAACTGGCGAATTCTGCGGTATTCTCTCTCTCTGCTTATTGCTTTACTTTTAATTAATAATTTTTATCTCGATAAATACTTTCATCAGATATTTTCAATATTTGAGAATTTTTATTTTTAAGAAGATTTTTTATTTTTATTTTATAAGAGAAGTCTTTAGATAATTAAATTATTAAAGGTATTAGTGTATTTTTGGGACATTATCTTCGGGATATTATGTTTCACGAAGTTTGCTAAAAATGATTGTTTATTGCGATATGAAATGACAATGAATGAAAAATGGCTGGAATAATATAATGATAATGACATTTTATATGTAATACTATATGCTAACAATTAATAGATAAAGATTAAATGTACAATCATTACATATCTTGATATCCGTAATATTGTAAAAGGGGTGAATAAATAGGTCGATGTGCATAACATATGGTTAATATCTAATGCAAAATGCTCAAACCCGCACGAATAAACCGAATGAAAACTATATTATGAAGGAAAATATACACATAATGGCACAATCTGGTTAGTTACACCTTCTTCCCTACTGTGTTAGTAGAACAATGGCCAACCATCCGATCAAATGTGTGTGTGTGCGCGCAAACAGGTAAGATGTGAGATAGTGGGACGATTTTAATTATTAGGTAATACATAGATGATATAATATCGATTTCCGTATATAATTATGCTCATAAAATATCTGAATATAAACTGGATAATGATTTAAATTTTTGTATGTATAACGACTTTATATTCTTTTCATATTTTTATGAATCTATTTTTTTATATTTTTTAAATTTTGTCGAGATATTGTATTCGTATTTGAGACTTTGTATTTATTATTATATGTAAGAATATTTTTTTTAAGATATTTGTCAAAGTATTATAACTGTTAAAATTAATTTCTCTTATATATACATATAAAATTTCGTTTTTATTAAAATATATTTGCTATATGCGTTAAAGGACTATATTTACTAAAAATTTGTATACTTATTAATTTTGTATAAATAATAATTAATACGCAGAACATTTGTTTATCTCGCGAATCTTCTCTTTTAGATCAATTTTATAAAAATTTTAAACAAACTTTTATCTACAGCTTTAAAATTCTTAAGAAAATAAAACACTCGTATTCACAAAACTGAAAAGATAGAACTATACTTTCAGCAAGAGAAACTATTTTGTAGATAAAACAATGTATTTCTCAATCTCTAACAAAATTTCTGAAACTCTTACTGAGAAGATTGTTAATTCAAGTATAACTTACCTTTCGCGGTGGTGGGATAGGATTGCCCAAACCATGATCCGAACACATAGAGCTCAAAGACTCACTACTACGTCCGTTGCTTAATCTGGTTGTGATACTGGATGGAGCTGGAGGCGGCGGATTTCGTGGTCTCTGCAATGTCGAGCTGTTTGTCTTGTCCATACCTGTATACAGAGAAAGAAGCAGATAAGTATCTATGAATCAGAATTTCGAAGTTCCTCCTGCGAGATTTATTTATCGAATGTACCGTGTCCGGTCGACGAGTCGCCGCTCGGTGATCTCTTATGATGTTGGCTATTTAATGTATTCAACGTATGCGGTAGAGTGTGTAAAGTGTGGCCAGCTAAAATCGGCTCGCTGGTCGTACGACTGTGCGTCGACGTAGCCAACGTAGCCGACGTGGGTAGCGTACCGTAGTGCGACGATGGCAGGACAACGCCGCTTCCGACGGCGTTCCCAGCAGGCGGCGGCGGTGGCGCAACTCGCTTCTTCAGCGAGCCGTGGATGTTCATTGAAATGTCCGGCGCCATGGGAGTGGGTACTATGCGAAACAATAATCGTATAATCAACATAAGAAATGTGAAAAAAATTATAGAAAGTCAATTGTATAAAATAATAAAATCAACGAATTGGCGGTTTGATTATGATTATATTATAATACTCAATTCAAATTTATTCAAATTCATCTAACAATTACAATTATGTTCGATTGTTACTTAGTGATTGTGTAACTGTTATTTTTAACGCGGACGCATCAGTTTTATTTGATAATTACTTGGATTTTAGAAAAGTTATCACGCAAAGCGAAAAGTATAAGAATGCAAGTCTAGTTTACCAGCTACAGGCTTTCTCGCTTGCGGTGGCGGCGGTGGAGGCATTTGTTGACGATTCGTCGAAGCGCTTGGAGATGATCCACTCTGTAGGCTGTCACAAGTGCTACTCCGACTACGTAATGTCACTGGTGAATCACCTGATCCCGTACCACTACCTCCGGCATATGATGGTGGTCTACTACGTGACTTTTTCTCAGGAGTTAGACATCCGTTCTACAAAAAGAAGAAATATACGTGAGTATGGATATAAATAGATGCATGCTTGAGATGCGGAGTATCGATACATATTTGTTTATGTTAATATACTCACTCTGTCTTCAATTATTGTTTCATCGTCAGAGAAATCTGTGGAACCTTCGTCGTGAGAAAGATTCCAATCAATATTCACATTATCAAACAACGTTTTCTGCCTTTGAAGAGCATGACTGAGCTGAAAATAATTTATTGTCTTTTTTATGCAACTTTTCAAAATATAAGAAATTGTTTTAAGCCTATTTTAATCAAAGATTATGAAAAATTGTAAAAAAAGCATTAAAATTAATGTTGATAATAAAAAATTATATCTATTCCACAAAATTGTATGAAAAAAAGATATAAAGTAATAGGAAATATATAAGAGATGATTTGTTGAATTACCAGTTCTTTGCATGTGTGGTGTCCCATTTCTTGTGCTATGTCCAACGGTGTCTTATCTTGCTTGTTTCGTTGTGAAGGATCTGCACCAGCTCGTAAAAGTAGTTTCATTGCTTCTGCTCTGTCGTGCCGCGCGGAGAGATGAAGTGCTGTTTCACCATCGATTGTTGTCCTGTCGATACCGCCACTTGGCATATTCTGCACTAGAAAATCTACAATATGCAGGCTGCTACCCATCTCACGTAGAATGGCCAAATGTAACGCAGTTTCGCCAACATCCTGAAATAGATATTACTTTTTTGAAATTTCTTTTTTATTAAATCAACATAATCATAAGAGAGAACATTTATTTTAATTAGCTTCTTGGATACAATTCTGTAAAGATCGCTACAATGCTTTACCGATGTTGGCAACGGTGCAGCCAAATCCACATTTTCAGCATAAACTTGTAGAAGTTGCTGCAGATCGCGGTTATTAACGGCATGCTCCAAATCAGAAAGTAGATCACGCTCATCCGCACATGTGTTCATCACGTATCTCTTGTCCACATACTTGGCGCGTATGAACTCATATCTTTCTTCCCTAAATGCAAGAGAATAAACATGAAAATATATCGAGCGAAAAGAAAATATGAGAATATTTGAATAAATATCGAGTATACAAAATATGAGAATCTATCGTTAAAAAATCCCAAGTTCACTCACATCGTCGACGTCGGCGACGGCTTGAGATTGTGACGCAACGTCGCCTCCATCACTTCGTTGAACGCCTGATTGGTCATGTGTCGCGCGAGCAACAGCTGAGCGGTGCCGACGTTGTCCAACGTTAGGGATTGTATCCGCGATATGTGTACACCCAAGTCCCGGTGGATGCCGCTGCACTCTATGCAGACTATTATGCCGAAGTTCGTCGACAGCCACGTGGCGTCTGAAAAGGAGTCACAATCGTCATTTTACAACAAAACATGAGAACTGGAGCGCGAACAAAGTTGCCGCTTCGTTCGGCTTTGTCACGCAGAAATGTCTACGACAATGCTCGGCCAGCGAACCGACGGACATTTATGTCGCTCGACGACATAAACGGAATACTTTCGGAAACCTTATCTAAAATCTATATTAATTTAATTTAACGAAGACATCGCATTGTTTTGGTTCATTGTAGGTAATCGCTATTTAACAATTTCAAATAGCAAAAAATTTTTGCCATTTTCATAAGAATTTGATAGAAATTCTTTAATACGAATAAGCCGATTTTCTATCTCATAATGCGCTAATTGAACGGTGAAATCGTTTTAGCCTTTAGCGGCAAGTGTAACGGGCGGACTTGGCACGCATCGGAGAAAGCACACATCCGGCCACTAAATGATCCACGATATTCATATTACCGTTTTGCGAGGAGCAATCGCAGCACTGATCGTTTCCGGGTAACCGCATAACGCATCGTATAACAGCCTGTTGCAGCTCTACAAGGCTGGGATTGCCGCTGCCGGCCTCCGCCTTGCCGCTTGCGTCGAATGCTCGCAACAGAGCACGTTCCTTACAATTCACTAGAACCGACATCCACGCGCGCTGATCCGCCTCGTCCTCCGCTTGAAAGTGATACGTCCTATTGTCTGAAATCGAAACAATGAACAGTATTACGTGGCGTCCGTTCATTATGAAGAAATGACAGGCGGCGCTTCTCAAATGCCCGCTCGTATGTCAAGCGGGTAACACTTACAACTTATGAGATCGAAGCCTCGCTTGTCGTCCGGTACTAATTTAATCTGGCAGGTTAATAGGTTCACCCTGGTGGGTGGCTTGTTCTCGTCCGCGTGGCAGATATCGAGATAGCCTTCCGCCTGCACGGCGCATCTCCTCTTCTGCCAAACTCGCCTCATCTTGCCCTCGCTCTTCTTCAGCAGGTGGCCAGAACGGGTGACGCCGTGCTGCTTATCGCCCTGCAGCTGGTGTAGCGAGTAACCCGCGTTCGCATTTGAATTCAGCTGCGAATTGCATAAGATTTATCGCTTAAGATTTGCATGATGCGTTATATAAAGTGCGATAATGGAATGATAACTCGAAAATTATATAAATAAGATAAAAATGAAAAATTTACAAGGCCCTCAAACGCAAGGCGACAAAGATAACTCTAAGGTAAAAATGTTAATAAATATCTAAAATTTAATTTTATATGTTAAGACAGCTAATACATTCAAATATATATGTCATAAAAAAAAACTGCTGTAAATATCAAACGAAAGCGAAGAAGTAACAATGCCAATTGAAGACTATTAGTAGATCTATTCTTTCTATGATGAATTGATGTTGAAAAGAGACATAGATATTAATCGATATTACCTCTTTGTCACATCCGGAGCTTCTAAGAAGACTTCTAAGTTCCGTTAATCGTCTTCGTTCCTCGTCCTGTGTCTGCCTAATTTTTTGCAACTTCACACTAAGGTCGGCCACATATGAACCGAAATGTTCAATAGTCTTTAAGCCATCCTGAAAATAACTAAAACCCCCCCGAACATAAGCATTAAAAAATCAAATCGACCGCTTTGATTATTCTTTAGACCTCATTATGCCTCCACGTATAGACAAAAATATCAACAAGATAAATATTTACTGTGATAACTTAAGATCAGTTTGATGTCGTAATGAATCCATGATGCGAATCAATCGCAAGATTACTTACTTTGTTTGCGCGTGATAATATTCGACTAGATGCTGCAACAACTCGATGCCCTTCTTCGTTTTGATCTCGTTCACTTTGATCAGATACTGTAAGCAAACACAGATAGCAATGATCGGCAGTTCTGCGTTCTCTATCCTGTATTTGTGTCTCGCTCAAATACACTTTTATCGAGCGTATCATAAAAGCAATCCACAAATAGAGTGTGCGGTAACCATCGCCACTCCTTTAATTTATGGATATCTTTTTAAGAAGTTTAACCAAGCTCCACCCTTTTTTACAATAGACACGTTTAAGTGAATAGTTAATTGGATTTACGATCCATTATTCCATAATAGTTTTATTATAATTTAGGTCGTCAAAAAATTTAATTAATGCGTAATACGAAATAATCCCAAATATTTTCGTTAAAATAGCAGATAG